TTTTAGGGTTTAGGGTTCAGGGTTTAGGGTATAGGAAGCCCCGTTTCGCCCCCCCCTTTTACCTGAACCCTGTGCCTGTCTGAAACTGCGGAGGACCTCCTGCAGCTCGATCCGCGCACGCGCCGCTGAAGCAGCATACAAGGTTCTGCTTAGTACTATATTGCGGTTTAGGGTTTAGGGTTTAGGGTTTAGGGTATCCTCCTTGGGAGTTTTTTTGTTTATATATAACCCAATAGAGGATATTAGAAATACTATTTTTATTGAGGTTCTAAGGGGAGTATAGACTAAGGAGCTCACACTTTGGCTACAGAGAACCCTGTAGGCATCAGGGCTGCTAGGGATTTAGGGGTTTAGGGGTTTAGGGGCTTTATGGGTTTTATGGGTTTTATGGGTTTTGGGGCTGAAGGTCTGGGTGCTTAGGATTCGTGTGATTTTGGGGCTGTTGGGGTTGTAAGTCCTCGGTCGCCTCACTACAGGCTTCCGCCACACGCGGGTGTGTCAATCTCAATGAAATTGATGTGGGGGTTTACGCAAATAGGGGACCCCTAAAAATAGACCCCCAAACTAGTAGCATCCCCTTAAACTGAGGACTCCAAGAAGGCCTAGTATCGTAAACCCTCATGTGCAGTCAAGACATTTATCTGCGCTAGACGTACGCATGCATACATATAATGGTTACAGTGTAACTCGGTGCAGTTTTTGCCTTGTGCGCGACCACTTGCGTTCCGTCATATCGGATATTCCCAAATGAGTTTGAACATAAGATATTCCTCTTTTTGCTTGTATTCCTATTTTATCGTAGTATTTTCCACTGAATGTCTTCCATATTCTTCAAGCTACATGAAGACCCCCAGCCTAGAGAATCGAAAGGCGGCACCACCTGCTGTGCTTTAGAAGTTTGATGATTTGGGCATTCGGTTGACATTTTTGGCAGCGTTATTTGGCGTTAAGTGTTAAAAATTCATGTTCGTCTTGCAGCTTGTCTTCGGCGGTATGCTGAAATGTTTGTTTGTGTTTAACAACAGCGTCTTTTTGTGGCTGACGACGGAATCTCGAGAAATGACTGAGCTGTTTTGCTGCCATAAACGTCCTCAACCCCTAACGCATATAGAGCCCAAAGCCCCGAAAGCTCTTTAACGCTAAGATCTTAACCCTAAGCAACGCAAAAACCTAAATCGCTAAAGCCCCAAGTTCCTTCGATATTGTGCACCCTGAAACGTACGAACGCTGTACGACAATTGCAAAGTTACTCCAAAACCACGCAAGAAAACCGAACCCCCTCCCCCCAAAAAAGAAGTATGAAAAAGCCAATCAATGTAGAGATCATAGAAGCATAAATACAATGCCTGCATAGCCCCTAAGCTCTGCTAAGGCAAAACGCTGACAGAGGTCGACCGGTCAGTGTGGCACAGGGACGAGGAGGAGCCAACCCTAAACCCTGAACCCTAAACCTTAAACCCTGAGCCCTGAAACCGAAAACCTGAACCCTAAACGCTAAACCCTAACCTTAACCCCAAACGCCCCTAAGCCCAAAACACAAGCGCCGGTGCCCTTTGATGGTTTTGCTTTGAAGGTGAATTTGGCTTTTGTAGGATCTTACAGAGTTTCGCAAGGAATTTCTATGCATGTTGGGGTGAGACTTGAAAGAACACTTGAGCGTTTGGAGTTCAGGTTCTCAGGGTTTGGGTGGGGGGGGGGGGGGGGGGGGGGGTTCAGTGTTTTCAGGGTTTAGGGCTTATGGTCTTACAAAGCTTTTCATTTTGTTTTTGGTTGGACTTCATTGGCCTTGAACTTTGCCAGAAACCTCATTGCACTACATAAACGCCAGAACGTGGTAAACAAAACCAACTTCCCCGGCAAAACGACGAGGCCGCACTGAATTGCAACAAGGGACTCAAGGGTCGGCTATTTAATTTGAGCTTCAGGCTTCGGGGGGGGGGGGGGGGGCTTCGGGGGGGGGGGGGGCGGGGGGGGCTGGGGGGGGGGGGGGGGGGTGAGGTGAGGGGGGGGGGGGGGGGGGGGGGGGGGGGGCGGGGGGGGGGGGGGGGGGGTTCTGGGGTCAAAAGAAACCCCACACCCTAAACACGAGTCTGAGGGCTTAGACCCTGTTTTTTGTATCAAGCTTCAACTTGGGATGTTCCGCCCCCATATACTAACAGTCCTTAAAAAAGGGATTATGGTGCCCCCAACTATAATCCCTATTAAGGACTGTTAGTATAAGTGGGATCATCCCAAGCTTCAACCCTCAACCTTTGCACCTAGGTTGAGCTTCTCGGGCCTGCCGTGGCCTTGAAAGTAGGCGGTTCAGTCCTCTATAGACCCCTAGCCAACATGGGAACTATTAAGCCTAGACGCCTAGACCCCGAACCCCGAAACACCCTGGTTCTTAGTAGGGAATGAGGGAATTAGGTACCTCCTATCAACTTGTATCCCCTATATATATATATATATACCCTATAAGGGATTGTATAGGGTACCTCACTCCTGCATTTCCTGCTAAGAGCCAGAAAGAAAACCCTCAACCCTTACTTTCAGGGTGTTAAAGCATGCCAAGGGCTCGGGATCTGGGGCTTAGGGCTAGAGCTCTTGGGTTCCCGGTTTTGGGACTTTAGGGTTTAGGGTTTAGCGTTTAGGGTTTAGGGTTTAGGGTTTAGGGTTTAGGGTTTAGGGTTTAGGGTTTAGGGTTTAGGGTTAGGACTTCTCGGGGGAGGACATCCCTTGTCCCCCTTGTTCAAGGGTACGTGGGTTTTTCTAGGCGGATCCCAAACCCCAAGCCTGCTCCTCTCGTTTTTTTTTGGGTTTTTTTGGGGCCGCCGCCCCAAATGAACCCCGCGGGGGTTTAGGGTTTAGGGTTATGGTTTACGGTTTAGGGTTAGGGCTTAGGGGGGTTCAGGGTTTAGGGTTTCGGGTTTAGGGTGCGGAGAGGATCTCACCATGCTGCCGCCCACACAGCCTCTGGGCGTCGGGTTATTGCTAGGGGCGCTGGGTTTCGAACCCTCCTAAGGTTTAGGGTTGTTGGTTTCTATTAGGATATAGGGGTTTGGGAAGACTTCAGGGTTTAGGGTTTAGGTCGAGAGTCAAAGTATCAACTGGATGCGCGTGTGGCCCACCGGCTTCCTTGTTTTGCTCTGTCGCCAGACGTCTTTGGTGTTGTCTAGACTCATGTCCACTTGCGTTTCCCAGGTGTGATGCAGGTGTTAAGGAACCCTAAACCCCAAACTCTATATCCCTAAACCCTGAACCCTAAACCCCAAACCCTAAACCCTAAACTCCAACCCTCAACCCTGATGGGCTACTCCTGCTTGTTGCGCCCTACCAGTGCGACTCGGCACCTGTCTTGCCGTCCATGTTCAGGACATCAAGGCCGGTAATGCTGGTTTCCAATCACAAGACCTCTGGCTCCCAAGCGACTGACCTCTTAACAGCTTTGTCTACTCGAAGACCCTGGTTTTGAGCCAAGCACCTTCGCCCCTGAGCTAAACCCTAAACCCTAAACCCTAAACCCTAAACCCTAAACCCTAAACCCTAAACCCTAAACCCTAAACCCTAAACCCTAAACCCTAAACCCTAAACCCTAAACCCTAAACCCTAAACCCTAAACCCTAAACCCTAACCCTAAACCCTAAACCCTAAACCCTAAACTGCCTGTAGACCTCTAAAGCCATACCCTAAACCCTCGACTCGCTGCCTTCGCGCTGCAGAAGGAACACCGTTTGTTCGGTCTTGGGGCTCCAAGATCCCTACAACCGTCAGCTTGTAGGGTTTAGGGTTTAGGGTTTAGGGTTTTAGGGGGGTCTTCAGCTTCCCAGGGGCTGCGATGTTCTGCAGGTCTCGCAGGCCAGTGCACATGACTATGGCCTGTTCGCACTGTGGAGACTTCCGTTGCTCAAAGGAGCTAAGCCTCATCCTACATACCCTACCTAGACCTCCAATTGTAGTTCCTTTTTGTGGGTATATTGCTAGCCAAGAAATTTCAGTAGGCACGAAATACTACAATCCGAGGTCCAGGTAAAACCTTATAAGCTCTGAACCCTAAGATGTCGAGCCTGCAGGGTTCCCTGGCCAGGTGGAATGCAACAGTTCCTGTTAGCAGGCTGGGGTCTGGGTTGGTATGCGGGCCGCCTTCTGAGGCTCCCCTCGGCGAGTCGTACGCTTGAGTTCAGGGGGGCCAGATCCTAGAGGAGGACTTGGCTAAGTTGACTCCGCGGAACAGGCGTCCTTTACGCATAGCTGGCATAGCTCGAAGACTTGGAAGAGTTGGCAGTATTGTTCTCGGAGGCATGGACCCGGCAAGGTCTGGGAGCACGAACCAACTTCGAACAGCCCTTGTTCTTGCACTTCTCTCCAAGGCGGCCTGGGCCATGTGCCTGGACTGGAGGCAGGCCTGCATTTGCAGACCCTACAGAGACGGGAGATTGGCAGAGGGTCACCTCCCAAAAAATCTCCACACACGTGCCCCCCGAAGTTCTGACGCTTCTTCCCTTGTAGGGGAGCCTCGGGCACTTGACCTTGAAAGGCTATTCCACGTTCGGGTCCGTTCGACATCCTCCTGAAGCAAGAAGCACCGCAAACTGCTTTTGCAAATCCTGTTTGGATCCCCTCCATCTTGCATTGCAGAGGGGTGCACACACGCAGCATGTGCGCTGAGCTAGAAGCTGGAGTGTTACGAAAGCTCGTGGTGTCTCGTTCCACGGCATGCCAGCCCAATCCAATGCCAGCAGAATGTCGGACAGCTAAAGGTAGGTCATCGGTTTCGGGTTTGATCAGGATTCCCTGGCCAAGTGGAATGCAACAGTTCCTGCTAGAAGGCCGGGGTCTGGGTTGGTATGCGAGCCGCCTTTGCTTTTGAGGCACCCCTCGGCGAGTCGTACGCTTGAGTTCAGGGGGGCCAGATCCTAGAGGAGGACTTGGCTAAGTTGACTCCGCGGAACAGGCGTCCTTTACGCATAGCTGGCATAGCTCGAAGACTTGGAAGAGTTGGCAGTATTGTTCTTGGAGGCATGGACCCGGCAAGGTCTGGGAGCACGAACCAACTTCGAACAGCCCTTGTTCTTGCACTTCTCTCCAAGGCGGCCTGGGCCATGTGCCTGGACTGGAGGCAGGCCTGCGTCTGCAGACCCTACAGAGACGGGAGATTGGCAGAGGGTCACCTCCCAAGAAATCTCCACATACGTGCCCCCCGAAGTTCTGATGCTTCTTCCCTTGTAGGGGAGCCTCGGGCACTTGACCTAGTAAGAAGCTTTGTTCCACCCGCACATGCCGGCCCGATCCGAATACTGGGCCACTTGAAGTTCAGGTCCAGGAGTGGACCACTCTCGGGTCCCCATCCATTAGGGTTTCGGGACTAGGCTTTGGTAGGGTTTAGGGTTTAGGGTGAATAGGGCTTAGGGCTGAGGGTTTGGGGCAGAAGCTCTGCACCTTAAACGCCGTCCATGTGGCCATTGACAGAATGGTGGCAGGCACATGCCTAAGCTCCCCCAGGTCTTACCTGCTAGCCCGTGACGAGTTGGAACACTGGGGCTTACAAAACCGCTTGCTTCAGATTCAAGTGCTTAGTAAGATAGAGGCTCTAAGGTTCGCGGTCTAGGGCTACACCCGCACTCACATTTTTTGCAGGTTCTTTTTCTTCCCTCTGCAGTTCATAGGACAGCGAAGTAAACAACCAAGGCCGTCGCAGCCGAGCGCTGGCTCCCGAGCCAGCAATTGGAATCCCGTGCCAGCTTTAGGGTTTAGGGTTTAGGGTTTAGGGTTTAGGGTTTAGGGTTTAGGGTTTAGAGTTCTAGGATTCAGGGCCCTTTTGTCTTGAGTCTAGGGTTCCCTTCATCATCGAGCAAATAACTTCTTGCCTGGTGAGCGTCTCTGTATTAATCCCTAGTGTGAGCCTTTGGTTCCGCCTTGAGTTCTCTGCAATCCTCATACAGGGTGGTTTCAAACACGGTAGGGCTAGACCCTCAGCCCTTTACCCTTTGCTTTGGTCCCTCAGTGTAAGCCTTCGATGCTTTGGTCTGCAGGGACCGGATAAAAGCCATCAGCGTGTTCGTGTAGGAGATACTATAAACCCTAAGTCCCGTTGCTGTTTGTTGGGGTTCACGCTTCGTGGCCCTGAAGCTCGGGTTTAGGGTTTAGGGGCATAGCATGACCCAGACTTCCACATTGGTTTGCTTTTTTGGGGTTTAGGGTTTAGGGTTAGGGTTTAGGGGGGTCCCAAGCCATGGAGCTGCAATCGGAGGTATTGGTAGGGCGTCGTTCGTATTGGAGGAACTACAATCTAAATAAAGGCGACACCCGAAACAAAGTGTGTAAGGTTCGCCCGAACAAGCCACCCAAACACAGGTTCCCTTTGCATACCATGTTCTGGAACGACCCCCTAAATCCTAAACCCTGAACTCTAAACCCTAACCCTAGGCCTGTGGCCTACAGCCTGCAGCCTGCACCCTCTAGCCCTGACACTCACTTGGTCCATTATGTGATAAATTCCGGTCCTTGGCTACACAGGCTAGATGATAGAGCCCATCGGCAGTTTAGTTTTCGAATATTTGTTCGAAGATGAACTGGGTTTAGGGTTTAGGGTTTAGGGTTTAGGGTTTAGGGTTTAGGGTTAGGGTTTAGGGTTTAGGGTTTAGGGTTTAGGGTTTAGGGTTTAGGGTTTAGGGTTTAGGGTTTAGGGTTTAGGGTTTAGGGTTTAGGGTTTAGGGGTTTAGGGGTTTAGGGGTTTAGGGGTTCTTGTTTAGGGTTCAGGGGTGAACCGAAGCCCTTGACCTTGACACCTCTGAGTCCCTCAGGCATCAGCAGCGAGCCCTCCCAAGGAGAGCAGCTACACCAGGCTGACAGCTTCATGGACCTGTCGCAGGCTCCGAGTTGGGGGGGGGGGGGGGTTCAGGGTTCAAGGTTTAGGGTTCAGGGTAAATGTTGCCGAATTCTTTCACTCCCCGGGTTCAGGGTAAATGTTGCCGAATTCCTTCACTCCCCAATGCGAACCAGTTGAGGAAGGTTTGTTGCCCATCGCCTTCAAGTACTTTGCTCTTGTAAAGACACGCCACCGCCACCGCGTGGCGGATGCCCTAGACTCCCTACTTGAAGGTTGGTAAGTAGGGTTGTAGGTAGGGTTACTATGGTTCTAGCCAAGTTAGCCTACTTATCACCCCACTTACAAGTATGCATGAACCTTCAAGTAGACCCTATACGCCGGTTATGCTCCTGGTCCACACCCTGCCCACAGCTCCCAAGAAGCCAAGACCCCGACCCTAAGCCTCACGAATCCCTGCCTTTGCCCGGTGCTCTGCACGTGGCCTTCTCGGAGGTTCATGGGTACTTCTATTTATTTGAGGTTTCAGGTAAGATTGATATACTTCTGGCCCTAAAACCTTAATTCCTGAGTAGTCGAAGAAAGCAACCCTAGCCCAAACAACCCTAGCCCAAAACGAAGCCTTTGCAAAAAAACGCAACTCTTTGCTGGGCGTGGTTTCATCATTGGTTATAGGGCATGGGGGTTTGCAGGGCTCCGGGTTTAGGATTTTGGGGATTTACAGTAAACTCCCTAAACCCTAAACTCTAAACCCTAAACCCTAAACCCGAATTTAGGGTTTAGGGCCTTCACCCCGAAACGGCCTTGAAGCTCCCGACGCATCGCCAGTGCTGGATACCGCCTCCAGCGCCCTTCCTCGAGGTCCGGAATTTAGCTTAGGGTTTAGGGTTTAGGGTTGAGGGTTTAGGGTTTAGGGTTTAAGGTTGAGGGTCTAGGGTTTTGGGGCTCATCAAGTGTAGCACAGTTGCCCGGGGTGTGGGGTGTGAAGGGAAGGATTTGCTGGACGTCAGGGTTCCTTCGGGTCTGGGGAGGATGCTCAAGCCTTTCTAACTGCCAAGACCTAAACCCTAAACCCGCCAACCCTATACCCTAAGCCCTGAACCCTGAACCCTTAACCCCACCCACTAAACCCTAACCCCCAAACCTACCCCCAAACCACATAGTGGCTCGAGAATTTGGGGTGGGGTCTTTGTAGCCGCTGTAAGTCAGGCTCGGCCTCGACTACCCGAAGGGTCGAAGTATCAATCCCATTCGATCCACTGGTTTAGGGTCTTGGTTTTCGCTTAGTTCTGGTGAGTGAGGTTTGGATGACCCCGTCCTGGGATCCTTATGGAGGGCTGAGCCCTAAACCCACAGCCCAAACTCTGGGAGATGAAAGGCGTAAGGTCTTGGGAGGGTTGAGACTGAGGGCTTAGGTTTTGTAGGGGTGTGAGTACATTGGACATGGTCTCGGTTTTTGCGGGCACGTACAGGATGGTTAGCATGTGTTGGGTAGTACCTGAATATGTGTAGTTCAGGCCCATTGCTTTATGGGGTTGCGATCCATCTTCTCTTGACACCGTGCGCCAGCACAGACAGCCAGGGCGGAATCAAGCGGCCGCCGACTGAGAGCAAACAAAAACATGCGAGTCCCTCCCTGACCTCCGTAAAACACAACGTCGGTCACTCCCAACTCCAAGGAACGCATGCTAGTACTGGTAGCCACTAGGGCATTGGGGCTTATAACCCCTACTTCCTTCAACCCGAATCCCTGAACTCTATAGGTAGGGGTTTAGACCCCCAAATTTGGATCCCCTTATAAAAGCACCCCACTAAGGTAAACCCTAAACCCTAAACCCGAAACCCTAAACCCTATAAACCCTAATTCGGAAAGCCCCATGTAGGTTTAAGGGCCTATGTTCCCCGCAAGTACAACTCCCGCTTGCAGATTGGTGGGCCATCCGACATACAGGCCGGGGGCACCCCGCAGACCTCCTTAGCGGTTTAGGGTTTGGGTTTAGGGTTAAGAGTTAGGGTTTAGGGTTTAGGGTGGCCCATTGACAATCATTCTTCCCTTTTTCTAGCTAGGCCTTGGTAGGGAATGAGGGACTGAGGTACCCTACATGAATCCGTTCCAGGGTTAATATAGGACCCTAATTCCTTCATTCCCTACTAAGGACCAGGGTGTTTTGGGCGCTAGGTTTCCATGAAAACAAGTAACCAATCCCCAAACAGGGTACCCTTGTCATAATTTGGCTACTGGCTACCCAGCGTCCGATCGTAGCTCGCCGAACTTCGCCGGATTCTGTGTAAGCAGGGTAAAGTTGGTGACCAAAAGAGGAGTACATTCGGAGGTCTAGGTGGAGTGTCTGAGAGTTGCGATTCGGAGTTTCAGGCTTTTGGCAAGTCCTACCTGACGGCTCCTATGTTGTACCTTCTTTTTAGGGTAGTATACTAAAACCCCCCAAAACTCCCCGAGGCCTAAAACCTAAACCCGAACCCCAAAAAGGAATTCCATCAGAGCGTCTTCAGGGTAGGGAGCCGAGTCTTCCGGGCATAAGGTTGCAGATCGCGGGCTTCGGGAGTACATGAAGCATTGGGTCCATCTCCTGTTTTTACGGTATAGCCCTCTCAACCCCCTCCCGCCTCCGTGGCAGCATTGATGAACTCCTAACTCAGCTACAAAGCCTTAGGGTTTAATGGTGGTTTTAGAGTTTAGGGTTTAGGGTGTAGGGGTTAGGGGACCCCCTTAAGCCCTCAAACCCCATTCGAAAACCTCTAAAGCAACAAACCCAAATTTTCAACCCACCCTGAAAGCTACCCAAAGTAACCTATCTACCCCTACAAACAGGGCAAGGTTCCTTAGTTCTTAAGTCCTTTTCCCTTTTTTTCTGGGTATGGAGTTAACCCCTGAGCCCCCGAAAACCGCCCCTTTAAACCCCCGAAACTAGGTAGGCCCCTGGGACATTTCATCTTTTTCCCTTATTGGGTTGAAGAGGAACATCTTCAGGAATATGCTCCAGAGGGTGTTAATAGGGCCATCCTAGTTCCACATCCCAGAATCCCAGGAGCCCTAAAATTCTGGGTATAGAGTTTACCCACTACCTAAGGCCGCCCCTTAAAGCCCCCTTAAAACCCCCCTCAAAACATCCCCAAAAATCCCAGGAGCCAGATCCGGAGCTTGAGCCCCTAAACCCTAAACCCTAAACCCTAAACCCTAAACCCTAAACCCTAAACCCTACACCCTAAACCCCCTTAAAACCCCAGGAGCCCGATCCGGAGCTTGAGCCCCTGAGTGAAGTGTCCATGGGCGCCTTGGTCACGGAGAGCTTCCTGGCAGGCCTCCCACGGGGGGGTTGAAAGAATCAGGGTGGGGGGGGGGGGGGGGGGGGGGTTTAGGGTTTAGGGTTTAGGGTTTAGGGTTTAGGGTTTAGGGTTTAGGGTTCAAGAGCTCCTGGTCGAGCAGTTTCTCGTTTAGGCTTTGTGTTTAGAACATCGAAAAATACCCACCCACCCGAAGTTCCCATAACATTAAGAAATAAAAAGTTTCTTCCTTTTATTAGGATGGTTCAATAACAAAGTGAATGACTTCCACTTAACAAACGAGGAGGTGGAGATACTAAACCACGCGAGGCTTTGAGGTCTTGAAATCTTAAACTGAGGCTCAAACCTTGAAAAAAATTTAAAACATGAAAAAACGAAGGAAAAAAGAAGGAAAAAGAAGCCTGGGGTTCCCCCCATTTGGGGTGTTTTTGGAAGCAAATTTTCCCTCATGGGGGGTCGGAGTTCGAGGCAAGGGGGGGTCTCCGAAGATTATTTTGCCTTTAAAATCGAAAAATGACCCCCCCCCCCCTGACCAAAATCATTATGAAAAAGGTCGCGGAAAAGTCTTGAAAAACTTGAAAAACACAAAAACCCAGAAAACGAGAGGCCACCCAGAACCCTCGATTTCAGTACTAAAAATTCGCATTTTCCTAGGCCAAGCCTGAGGTCCCTTTTGGGGTGTTTTTTGAGGCAAACTTTCCCTCTCAAGGGGGGGTCGGAGTTTGAGGCAAGGAGGGTCTCCAAAGACTATTTTGCCTTTAAAATCCAAAAATACGACCCCCCTTGACCGAAATTAGGCTGTGAAAAGGTCGCAGGGGCAGCCCTTCCTCAGAAAAAACCTGAAAAAACCCGAAGAAACATGGAAAAACCTTAAAAAACATTGAAAAACCTTGAAAAACCCTGCAAAACTTGAAAAAACACGGCGTTGAGACCTTGAAACCCTAAACACAGGCCTTGAGGCCTTGAAACCCTAAACGCTGGGCCCTGAAACCTAAACACAGGCCCTGAGGGCCCTGAGGCTTGAAACTAAACGTTGGGCCCTGAAACTCTAAACACAGGCCCTGAGGCCCTGAAACCCGAACCACAGGCTGAAACAGGCCCTGAAACCCTGAAACCCAAAACGCCAGGACTTGAGGCCTTGAAACCCTAAACGCTGGGCCCTGAAACCCTAAACACAGGCCCTGAGGCCCTGAAACCCTAAACACAGGCCCTGAAGCCTTGAAACCCGAAACGAAACACAGGCCCTGAGGCCCTGAAACCCTAAACACAGGCCCTGAGGCCTTGAGACCCTAAACACAGGCCCTGAGGCCCTGAAACCCTAAACACAGGCCCTGAGACCTTGAAACCCTAAACACAGGCCCTGAGGCCTTGAAACCCTAAACGCTGGGCCGTGAAACCCTAAACACAGGCCCTGAGGCCTTGAAACCCTAAACACAGGCTTTCAGGCCTTGAAACCCTAAACGCTGGGCCCTGAAACCCTAAACACAGGCCCTGAGGCCCTGAAACCCTAAACACAGGCCCTGATACCTTGAAACCCTAAACGCTGGGCCCTGAAACCCTAAACACAGGCCCTGAGGCACTGAAACCCTAAACACAGGCCCTGAAGCCTTGAAACCCTAAACACAGGCCCTGAGGCCCTGAAACCCTAAACCCCTGAAACCCTAGACGCAGGCCCTGAGGCCCTGAAACCCTAAAAACAGGCTTTGAGGCCTTGAAACCCTAAACGCTGGGCCCTGAAACCCTAAACACAGGCCCTGAGGCCCTGAAACCCTAAACGCAGGCTTTGAGGCCTTGAAACCCTAAACGCTGGGCCCTGAAACCCTAAACACAGGCCCTGAGGCCCTGAAACCCTAAACACAGGCCCTGAAGCCTTGAAACCCTAAACGCTGGGCCCTGGAACCCTAAACACAGGCCCTGAGGCCCTGAAACCCTAAACACAAAACACAGGCCCTGAGGCCCTGAAACCCCAAACACAGGCCCTGAGGCCTTGAAACCCTAAACGCTGGGCCCTGAAACCCTAAACACAGGCCCTGAGGCCCTGAAACCCTAAACACAGGCCCTGAGGCCTTGAAACCCTAAACGCTGGGCCGTGAAACCCTAAACACAGGCCCTGAGGCCCTGAAACCCTAAACACAGGCCCTGAGGCCTTGAAACCCTAAACGCTGGGCCCTGAAACCCTAAACACAGGCCCTGAGGCCCTGAAACCCTAAACACAGGCCCTGATACCTTGCCTTGAAACCCTAAACACAGGCCCTGAGGCCCCTAAACGCTGGGCCCTGAAACCCTAAACTTGAAACCCAGGCCCTGAGGCCCTGAAACCCTAAACACAGGCCCTGAGGCCTTGAAACCCTAAACGCTGGGCCCTGAAACCCTAAACACAGGCCCTGAGGCCCTGAAACCCTAAACACAGGCCCTGAGGCCTTGAAACCCTAAACGCTGGGCCCTGAAACCCTAAACACAGGCCCTGAGGCCCTGAAACCCTAAACAGGCCCAGGAAACCCTAAACGCAGGCCCCGAGGCCTTGAAACCCCAAACGCCATGCCTTGGGGCCACCCTTGAGGCCCTGAAACCCTAAACGCCAGGCCTTGAGGCCTGAAACCCTTATTAGGGTTTCAAGTGTTTAGGGTCTCAAGGGTTTAGGGGCTCAACGGTTTAGGGTGTCAAGGGCAATGTGGGCCTTGGGCCTTGCCCACGAATTTTTGGGCCTTGCCCACGAATACTTGGGCCTTGCCCACGAATATTTGGGCCTTGCCCACGAATACTTGGGCCTTGCCCACGAATATTTGGGCCTTGCCCACGAATATTTGGGCCTTGCCCACGAATATTTGGGCCTTGCCCACGAATATTTGGGCCTTGCCCACGAATTTTTGGGCCTTGCCCACGAACCCAACAGAAATTCGTGGGCAAGGCCCAAAAATTCGTGGGCAAGGCCCAAAAATTCGTGGGCAAGGCCCAAAATCCGGATTTTGGGCCTTGCCCACGAATATTTGGGCCTTGCCCACGAATCTTTGGGCCTTGCCCACGAATATTTGGGCCTTGCCCACGAATACCATTAAGGTTTATAATTATATGGTAGGAGAGGTTTAGGGTTTAGGGTTTAGGGTTTAGGGTTTAGGGTTTAGGGTTTAGGGTTTAGGGTTTAGGGTTTAGGGTTTAGAGCTTCGGGCCTTAGGGCTGTGTGGGTTGTTTTGGGGTTTAGGGGGTTTAGGGTTTTAGTGGTGTAGGCTTGAACACGAAACCCTAAACCCTATAAACCCTAAACCCAGGCTTTAAAGACTAGAGGGTCTAGCGTTGAGGGCCATAGTCGTAGGATTTAAGGTTATAGCCTCGGCTTGAAGGCTTCGGGTTTCACCTCAGTAGCTTAGGACAACCAGTTTTTTGGGTTACTTGTAAACCCCTCTAGGACGAACACGGGCATCCGCTTCTTCCCTGCGTCCTATAGGGCACCTACGACGGAGGTCTTTGGGGTTTCGTGGAGTTAGCATAGCTTTGGGCGTTGCGGTTAGGGTTTAGGGTGTAGGGTTTAGGGTTTAGGGATGTCCAGGTACTCTTCTACCTTGGTGAAGATGCCGTTCATTTAGGGTTTGAGACGTCCTTCAACACCCTTGAAAGCCCTTTTAAGCCCCAGGCCCGAACCGCCCAGCCCCTGAACAAAAAAAAAAACCTTGCCAGGACTGGAGGAAGATCTCCGACAGTCCGAGGCGCGGGGGAAGTTCATGATTCTGGGTTTGGGGCTTTGGTTTTTGGGGTTTAGGGTATAGGGTTTAGGGTTTGCTTGCGTGAATTTTGGTTTGGGGTTTTAGGTTTGGGGTTTGGGGTTTGGGGTTTAGGGTTTTATAGGGTTTCTCTTGGGACGTTGTATATTTTCCCTTATTGGGGTTTAAGAGGATCATATCAGCAACGCCCTAAACCCTGAACCCTAACCCCTAACCCCCAAACCCTAAACCCTAAACCCTAAACTCTAAACCCTAAACCCTAAACCCTAAACCCTAAACCCTAAACCCTAAACCCTAAACCCTAAACCCTAAACCCTCCTTGGCCTACCCCAAGCCACCGCTCGAGGCAGCCGAGGCTTCGCAGCCGCCGTGCAAGCGACAGAGGCTTGAGAGCAAGGCCATCTGCTGGGAACCAGAGGTTTAGGGTTTAGGGTTCTCCCCTAGGAGCTCCCTAGCTACCTACCCCCCTTAAACCCCCTCCCTTCAGAACCCTATAAGCAGAGTCCCCCGACGGCTTGGGGGAAACCACAGCTTAGGGAGGGCCTCGACCTAAACCTGCGCGAGACCTCGAGCCTCTGGCCTTTTGCCCTGAACTCCTTAGTGCGCTAGACACTACACCCTGGAAGCGCAAAACCCCTAGCCCTGATAGACCTCAACGCTCGTTGATGAGTTACAGGTCCTGAAACCCTAAATCACAGCCTAAACCCTAAGCCCTAAGCCCTAAGCCCTTAACCCTAAACCCTGAACCCTACCCTCTGCTGTTACGTCCTAGCAGATGGCCTTGCTCTCAAAAATATGGTCCTTTTCTGGGTACCTTTAAAATAAGAGGGCCGCCTCATAATAAGGACCCCAAAAATCCGTAATTTAGAGAAATGACCAGATGGCCTTGCTCCTAAACCCTAAACCCTAAACCCTAAACCCTAAACCCTAAACCCTAAACCCTAAACCCTACTTAGGAAGTCAGAGGAGTACAGGGAACCTGGGTTGCATGCCCCCCCCTTGAAACCCCCCCCCCTTCCCTTAAGAACCCTATAGTCTTCTGCCAACAGGGAGCTGAGGAGGTTGCAGGGGGGTTGTGTTCGGTGTGGGTGAGTTCATGCTTAGCTTGTTTGCTTTCTTCGGTTTGCTCGACATCTGCAGCAGGGTCTCCTAGTCAGTAGTAGAAAAAGCCTCAGTTGCGCAATGACACACTCAAACTTCTAAAGCCCGAAGCCCAAACCCTTTCAACCCGAACCCTGAACCCTCAAACCCAACTTCCAAGCAACCCGGAACCCTGAAATCGAAGGGCCTACTCCAACGCACTGAATCCTGCAAGCCTGACCCCTGAGAATCCGGACCCAGCTCCCTTAGTCCACCCCTTCAGGAAGATGCGGCTTATAGGGCTAAGGATTTAGGGTCAAGGGTGCACAGGCGCCTGATGAATTTACCGCATATCATCCTTTTATAACCCCTGTAAAAGGCTAGTATCAGACTACCCCAAAATTTTTTTATGTATCACGAAGAGTTTTAATGCCATCTATTTGGTGGGGGGGGGGTTCATGCCTGACATGTCGGGTTCTCTACATTCTGATCATCTTTGGATCCCATTACAATATGGAGCCTCATGTAAAGGGGACACAACTAGACCCGAATCCCTGGTACACCCTAAACCCTGAACCCTAAACCCTAATCCCTACGTGCACCCTAAACCCCAAACACCCAAACCCCCAAACCCGCAAAAGCCTGAACCTTGCTCCTCATTCCGCAGCCCTGCGAGCCAGGCGAGTCCGTGAGGTCTGCTGCGGTGTCGCATGAGCCCGAGGGCGGCGTAGCTTGGGTCTTGCGCTAGGGTTTAAAGTTGAGGGTTGAGGGTTGAGGGTTGAGGGTTGAGGGTTTAGGGTTTAGGGTTTAGGTCTTGCATTAGGGTCTTAGGGCTTAAGGTCTCATATTTGCTGGTTTAGGGACAACTGCAAAACTAACACCCTAAAGCCTAAACCCTAAGCCCGCAACCACTAGTAAAAGGCGCAGGTGCTTGAGTGCTTAGTCTAGGTAGGCCCTTGGGAAATTTTCAATTTTCCCTTACTGGGGTTAAGAGGATCATTTTTAGAAATACCCAACATCCTAAACCCTAAACCCTAAACCTATCGGCTTTAGGGTTTAGGGTTGAGTGTGCAGCTATTTGTCGGCGCCGGTTCGACCCTGGAGGCTGCGCAGACACTTTCAAGCAGCAAAAGGTCCGAGCTCGGGTGGTTCAAGATGCAGGTCCAGTAGTAAATTATGGGTATATCCCAATAGATGGTTTTGGGTTTGGGTTTTGGGTTTGGGGTATAGGGTTTGGGTAGTTTTCCCTAAATTCGGGTCCTGTCTTGGGATCCGTTTTAAAGGGCGCGCCTTGTAAGGGGTACCCAAGAAGGGACCCGAATTTAGGAAACTACCCATATGGGTATATTCCAAAATTCGGGACCACCTGACAGACACGCAAAATACGCCCAAGCTTTAATAAGTATAGGAGTTCACAAAACGGTCAGGAGACCTCTACGTGCGGCAGTTTCTCTAAACCTGGCGTAGCCGGTGACATCTTTCACCGCCTGCGTCGGCGTTAGGTTTGCTAGGGTTTTGGGTTTAGGATCTATAGGGCTTATGTTAGGGTTTATAGGGTTTTCGAGGGTTCCACCGGTGTTACAAGGGCCGAATCGCTTTCGAACGGCTTTCAGGGTTCAAGGGCCTTAGTTATAATAATAAGGGCCCTTGAAACCGGTTTATATGAAGCGTTTAGGGTCCAGATCCGCAGAGCCTGAAACTTGAACCTGCAGAAGGTTCAGGATTTAGAGTTTAGGGTTTTGCAGCTACCCTATACCCTAACCCTGAAGCCAAAACCTTATGCCCAAAGCCCCAAACCCTCAACCCTAAACCCTAGGGTTCTCAAATCCTCCCCGCCACCCCGAAACTGTCTCTGCCTGCCCCTGCCCTCTCTCTCCTTGAGCCCTCAAAACCCCCAAACCCTATAGGGTTAAGGTTTTAGGGTTTAAGGGTTTCGGGTTCAAGGGTTTAGGGCTTAGGGGCCCCCCTCCCCTCCCTTCCCCTCTCCCCTCTCCCCTCTCCCCTCTCCCCTCTCCCCTCTCCCCTCTCCCCTCTCCCCTCTCCCCTCTCCCCTCTCCCCAACGCCTTGTCCTCTTCTTCCGAAGCTGTGCGAAGGCGGACTGACAAGGAGGCTGGGATGTCTCAGCTTTTCAATGGGTTTAGGGTTTTAGGGTTTTGGGGTTTAGGGTTTAGGGTTTTGGGGTTTAGGGTTTAGGGTTTAGGATGTCGGCCAGATAGAAGTAGGGATATCAGTACACCAAAGCAAGCTCTAACGTCTTCAGACTCTTTAGTAGCCCTGCTTGGTAAACTGCAGTTCTCACAAATCATTCAGGTGTAGGGTTTAGGGTTTAGGGTTCAGGGTTTGTTGGGTTACTGTAGGGCTCCGGGTACTTTTGAGGCCTAAGAGGACCTGACTTGAACCCGGGCGTTCTACATCCCATTGTGCGTAGATGTATATACAAAGATACACGTAGGTGCATGGTTGTACACATTTATGCACACATAGACACACATAGACTTCTGAAAGCCTCTATAAGCCTGAGCCTGAAGCCCAGAAGTTTGCAAGGGGGGCTTGTTTCAGCTTCACTTTGAGGCTCCCGGGTCGTTGATGGAGGTCACCTCTGTTTGTAGACACGAATAACAGCGGGACCTACTGTAAATTATGAGGGTTTGGGGTGTAGAGGAGGTCTTAAGGACATTGACTGTTTGAACCTACAGACTGGGTTTTGGAGTACTATACTTTGAAGTTCAATACTTTTTTGCTGGTTCGGGGTTCCGATTATAGCTACTTATACCTAAAACGTATGAACTTTTCCAGGGTCTACTCCAAAGTAGGGTTACACCCTAAACCCTCAACCCGAAACCCTAAACCCTAAAACCCACCTAAACAACTTGTCCGGCCGCCGCAACCTCTGCCAGCTGCTCGGGGAGTGCCAAAGGGTTTGGGCACGGGGAAGTACCATCCTTCGGCCATCTCCCGCGGGCCCATTGGTAATTACTAGGTAGCCCAGTGGTACCCTTTACCCCCCAAAAAAGAGTACCCTTAATCATAATCATAATAATCAGAAGAAGAAGAATCAGACTAAGAATAATAATGATAGTGATAATGATGATGATATGGTTGCTGGGGGGGGGGTTACCGAGTGTATGTTTTGGGGGCTTCACTGTTCAATTCCCACCCTGTTTTTTTCCTACGCAGGACCCTTTGAGACGGGCTGCGGCATGCTTGGCCTTGTTTGAGTTGTCTTCAACTCTTTAGCGTACATCGCAATGAAATGTTGAAAAAGAAAGTTCGAAACACACACACAGCGACGCTTCGAGCTACTGTCTGAATGCAAGCCTAATGGAATAGACATTACCACACGTCAGGGCTGAACCCTCAGTCCCGAACAACAGGGATAAAACTGAACCCGAAGTCCCTAACAACAGGGATCACACGAATCGCCTGATGTTGGGCCTGCTGCCATGACGGAGACGGAGACGCTGTTTGCTCGAATGGTCTACCGCGGAACCCTGCTGCAGGCGGATTTACCCAAAGGCTCCAATGTAGTTCCTTTTTGGGTTAGGTATAGGGGACTCTCGTATACTACCCCCAAAAGGTACTACAAAGGAGCCTTTGGGTAGGGTTTAGGGTTCCGCTACTGAGCAAGTTGAAGGGGCTTGTACTTGTCACAATGTCACAATGCAGTCGGCCTGACCTGAAGAAGGAACCCTACTCGTACAACTTGCTAGAGTAACTTACTGGTTCAGGGGGGGGGGCCTACACATACGCTTAAATCCTCAGTCGTGTATATATACAGATATACATCTACATATACATATACATATACATATACATATACATATACATATACATATACATATACATATACATATACATATACATATACATACATATGTATATATATATATATATATATATTTATTTATTTATTTATTTATTTATTTATATATATACGTATATCTGTATATAGATGTATTTATTTATATTTTCTAAAAGAGGGTACCAATTTCCCTGGCCTTCGGTTTAAGCTTGGACCCTGGCACCTTAAACCCTGAATCCAGTCCTTTTCAAGGTGTAAGTGTAAGTCTTTCATGCCCCTCCAGGGCTTCGGCTTTGGGTTTAGTAGCCTCAGAAGTGCTATCAGGCATACTTGGCAGGGAATTCGAGGTAGTAGGTGCCCTGTAGAGCTGCATCCTTTCAGGGGCATACAGGGGTACAAGGTGCGGAATTCCGAAACCTGTAATCCCCTTGCCTTCCTACACAACCACGCAGTCAGCGAGGTGTAGCGCAGCTTTGATGGGGTTCATAGCGGCCTGACATGTGCGGAGGCCTCATCAAGTTTCTGAACCCTGAACCCGAAACCCCAAAACCCTAATCTCTGAACCCTAAACTCTAAACCCTAAACCCTAAAACCGAAACATCCACGCACACCCTCCAGAGCTGATTTAAAAAAACCCTAAGCCTAAAGCCCAGAACCGGCTACTCTCGGGGCTAGGGTTTAGAGTTTAGGGTTTAGGGTTTAGGGTTTCGGGTTTAGGGTTTAGGGTTTAGAGTCTGGATGCAGGGTTAGGGACGAAAGGTTTGGGGTATAGGGGCCCAGGGTTTCAGGGTTTAGGGTTTATGAAGCCCGTCAAGTTGGGCGCAGAGGGGGTGTTACCACTACCAGTTCTTTTTGTTAAGGGTTTTTGGTTTAAGGGTTTAGGGCCCTTAAGGCTTTAGGGTGTAAGGGTGCCAGGGAGGTTTTAGTGGCAGTCCTTCCGTTGGACCAGGGCGAAGCATCCGATCAAGGGAAGGCGCCACCTGCACCGTATTGCGTTTTGATCATATTAAGGATTCCTATGAGGGTTCAGGGTTTCGGGTTTAGGGTTTTGGGCTTCTGGGGATTGGGGTTCAGGGTTTTGAGGGCTGTTTTTTTTTTTTTTTTTTTTTTTTTTTTTTTTGGGGGGGGGGGGGGGGTGCTTGCCTGAGGCTCAAAATGTAGTGCCTCTTTGGTTTTGCTATGGTGTGCCTCACGGAGGACTGCAGAAATTCCCGAAAAGACAAGCGCACATGAGCCTTTCAGGGCAAACCCAATTTCATCCGCCCCCCTTATCGAGAAGAAGTTTGGGGTTTAGCGTGAGCAGAGCTGCCGCAGGGAATCTTCGTGATGAATGTTGTGGTCTGCGCTCTGACCTGGTGTTGTTGATTCTAGACTAGAGATCTTCAGGGACTGCCAGTTCAGGGTTAAGGGTTTGGGGTTTAAGGTTTAGGTCCCAGCATACTCTACAATCCGAGAGGCACTTGTCAAACGAAAATACTCGCCAACCAGCAGCTCTGAATGCCTGTCCAACAAAATCGGCCCCTGCACCAATGTGTACCATGTCCAGATTCTCATCCCCCAACACCAGGTGACGAGTCGCTCGTCCTGGAGTCACCCGTACAATAACGAAGAAGCACGTTTAACTGTGTAACAGCCCAGACCCAGCTAACCACCTAAGCTGACCCAAGATCGTGTTTTTTTGCACTTACTTTTCAACCAAGCATCCACCAACTGTGGAAAAGATCGGGGGCTGGGACGGTTATGGACAGGCAGCATCCTATCTCGACCCTCACTGGCTGCCAACAACTCTCCAGTCGAAGACCCAATCCGTCATCTCAAATCCTTGTAAAGCGTATGCAAGAGAATGATGCCCTATAAGTATGTGCATCTGTGGTCGGAATGGAATGTCA